GCCGCCAATTTCTGGATGAAGAAGGCGTACGTCGAGGGCCCTGCCGGTTCCTTACGCAGATGGTTTCTACCTGTAGGAAGGTGGCATCAAGAAATTCCAGCGTGGCAAGGTTGGTGGTTTGGCCTTCAACGACAGCAGCACGGACAAGTTTGCGCAACAACGGAAGCCATCCGGTGACCCAGGTGGAGGAATTGAAAGTCTGCTTGCGCTTGACGTCGCTTTTGTTGAGGATCTCTGTGACCACACCCTTGCAGCTAGACGCGAAGCGAGCAAATTCATCAGGATCANGGCTTCAGCTTGTCCATCTTGTCTTGAAGGCGGATGGTGTCGGCCTCCGTTGCAGCGGCGTTCGCAGCGTCCAGAGCCTCTTGCCTCGCTCTCGCTCCCGTGGAAGACAAACAAACGCAAACCGGCATCGTCCTGTGGAAACGGTGATGCCGCTTGACCCGGTGGCTCGACGATATGGCCGGTTGCAGAGTTAGGATCAATCAGAACAGACGCACGCTGGAGGGGGGGGGGCGATACCACCAATGGCTGTTGCAACAGGCCCGACCGGTACTGTCGCCGACCTCGTGGCTGATGACGATGATCCTGGCGTGATCCTGGCAGCGGTTTCAGCACGAACATCGCGCCCCACAGGAGCTCCCGAAAAGCTCGAAGCGTGGTCTTGAATCGGTGTCGGATGCGTTGGTGGGGAAGAAGATGNGAGTGAGTACTTGTTCCAGCAGCATTTCAGTACGGGAAGCCGAAGTCGAGGCGTGTGAGGCAGCATGGCGTGGTGACTCAACAGGTTCGTCCAAAGGCAAGGAAGATGTGGGATGATCCATAACGGCATGGGCAGGGGCATGACTTTTCACGGCGGCTGAATGTTCACGAAGTTGCATGTTGGCAAGTTTGAAATTCAAAGAAGACCTGGTCGGTTGGCCTACATCAGCGGGAGGGCGTAGAACAAGCGGTGAAGAACAGAGAGAACCGTCTTCTGAAGCATCCTTGGTTCCCCCAACAACCCAGAGCCACGAAAATCACCCCGATCATACATCGCTTGCCTGTTACCGTGGCCTGACCTCCATCCCCCTTTTCCACCGCGACTGCTGTCAGTGCTGGTCGCCCTGCTGTTGCCCTCGCCCTGGTTCTGGCTCCGGCTGCGGCTACGCCTAGACAGAGGCGTGTTTCTCCCACGACGGTCTCCGCTCCGGCTGCGCCCACGCCTAGACGAAGGATTAGTGCGCTGGTGACGTTCTGCACTCCAACTCCTGCTCCGGCGATGGCGACTCGCCGGCGAAGACCTGGTAGGCTGGTTCCCTACAGCTCGCCCTCGCCTGTTATCTCCGACGCCGTGCCCTCGCGAAGACTGGGTGGAGCGGCGGTGGTCGTCCGTCCCGCTCTTGGCCGTCGAATCCCGGTCGCCCCAACGGTTCTTCCAGCTCTTGGACACAGGAGCCGCCGACCAACTGTAGTCCTTGTCCTCTCCAGAACCATGCGCAGGGCGTGAAGAGGCCTGCCGGGGGGCTAGCAGATCGTGCTTGAAGTCGTTCTTCGAGGCAGCACGAGCAAGAGGCAGCTGGAGTCCTCCATCTTGTGTCACCACCGACGTTCCTTGAGGACCTCTATTAATGGTGGCACGGCGGAGAGCAAACAAAAGCTGGAAGACGGACTGCCGCGAAGAAGGCGGAAGTTTCGCGATGTGTGGGTAGATGTGCCCGAAAGCAACGGTGTGCTTTGGGGGAAATTGTGCACGGACGAGTTGTTTGATGCCAGCCCATGCAAAAAGAGCTGCCATTTTTTTTTCATCGTGGAACGTTACATCTTCTGCAGGCATCTCCAGCGGGCGGGACAGGAACGCTGTATCTCCAACGTGGAACTTGTACACCATGGTTGCCGCCGCAAACGATGCTCCGTCTTCAGCACCGGCCGGAAGACCCAACGTCACCGAAAACTCCGGAGTCGCTGTCCTTTCCCGCTCCTTCTCGCTCGTCGGAGGAGCCGCCACCTCCCGCTCCTTCTCGTGCGGCGAGGTAGTACGATGGGAACCAAGGGGCACCTGGGATTGCGTGGGGGGGGGGACGATAACACGGCGACGGGGGTCGGGGGCTGCTCGCGGGTCCAGGTGGCGGGACTCCAGCTCCTCCAGCCGCGATCGGAGCGCCCCCTGCTTCGCCCTAGCCGCTTGGAGAAACGCCTCACGCTCCGCCAGAACAGCCGCACGCTCCTCCTCCTGCTTCCTCGCCGCAGCAGCCAGAGCAGTCTCACGTTCCGCCAAGCGCTCCGCGTCCTCGCGCTTCGCCTGCTCTCGCGCCTCTGCCTCTGCTATCCGGCAAGACCGTCGCACCACATCTCGTTCAACCTTTGGTACGCCACAAACTCGTCGTGGGGCAAGGGGATTAATTTGTCTTCCGGCGAGAGCGAGAAAGGAGGAACGAAAGGGGGGGAATCGGACGACGGATGGGCCGCTTCTACAATATCCTCCAGAGAGACACGTCCGGTGTTGTAGGCCCGCTCCAGTTCCGCCGGATCTGCTATGGCGATGTTGTCCAGTAAATTATCGACGGTGAACACCATGGGCATGGGGGGGCTCTCGTCTCCTGCACCGGCCGCTGGAAACTGCTCTGCGGTGGGAGCCTCGCCCTCGGGTTCGTAATCCAGGATTTCCACATTGTCGCCCAGGAGTTCCACATTGCCGCTGGACATGGTGTCCTCTTTGTTAACAAGAACAGGGCCAGAGGGAGGGTGGCTACGATCGATTGTGGAAAGGGCAGCAGGACCAGAAACAGCAGATGTAGGATAACCAACCGCAGATGAGGCAGCAGCACCAAGAGCAGCAGAAGCAGTAAAGCCGGGTGCAACTTCGGGAAAGCAAGCTGAGGTCCAATGCGAAAGGCGGAGATATCCACAAGATAGCATACGCCCAGTGACAAAAGCTTGGTGCACACGAGGTTGAAACGGATCCAACCAAGCAGAAAAAGCGTCCAAAAGCACATCATGCCACGCACAAATAGCAGTAGAAGCTAGCACAATAGGGCCCGTGTTCATGGAGACACGAGGTTTTCCGACCAGAAGACACGCAGAGCAGCACGGCGTTCCTCCGCAACGGGTGCCGAAGTGCGAGCAAAGACCGCTGTGGGTTTGCGCTGTTGAAAGGTTTCCAATTCAAATGCTTTGAGGGTGAACGATTCCCCGAAAAAAAGTGCCATGTGATTTCGAAAAATGGAGGGAAGGCTGGTGGGGCGGCTGGCACCCGATTTGTGTGCACACAACGCGTTCCAAGTCGATGTAAGCGGAGTCAAATCGGAGAGCACAACAGGAAAATCCGCGGACATCGGCCGGTACGCCGGCATGAATGCAGTAGAGGTGGCAGCAGACGTGGGAAGCATGCTGTCATCTCGGGTCCCACTACCTAAAGCCAGCAACTCAGGACGCTCATGCAGAGGGTATCCGCCACAGAAATCACTTCATGGATCGCCGATGCAGCCAAATAGCTTTCGAGGGACGGCGAACGTACGAAAAATCACCCAAAACATCGCGATGGCCTCCGAGGCGCGTATCCTTTGCAAGGTCCCAGTCCCGCGGGCCCTTCGCAAAAGCATCACAAGGCAGCACCTCTACAGGAGAGGAAGCAGAGAAGAGGCTAAGTCTAGATTCTCGTGGGTNCTAAAGCCAGCAACTCAGGACGCTCATGCAGAGGGTATCCGCCACAGAAATCACTTCATGGATCGCCGATGCAGCCAAATAGCTTTCGAGGGACGGCGAACGTACGAAAAATCACCCAAAACATCGCGATGGCCTCCGAGGCGCGTATCCTTTGCAAGGTCCCAGTCCCGCGGGCCCTTCGCAAAAGCATCACAAGGCAGCACCTCTACAGGAGAGGAAGCAGAGAAGAGGCTAAGTCTAGATTCTCGTGGGTGGTGAGACCAAATAACCATGCTAGCAGCCACACTACTCAACAGGAGGGCACTCAAGAATCCCAAATTGGTTGGCCCGCGATAACTTTTGGTTGCAGTCACTAATTTGCCCAAAAACAACATCCCCGTGATCCCCACAACATGGCGGACAATACTAGGACGTGAAAAAAACAACACACTACGGAAAAGCACTCTCTACTCAAGGGAAGAAGAAACGGAAAAAGAACATACCCGGGATCGGACCCCGGTCCCGGAGAAATGGTGGGCTCAGGTGAGGCCCTAGGGGTATAAAAGAGACATTACATTGATGACTGGTGCTTATATTCCTCTTGCTATACATTACATACTATCATTGTGGGAATGATTCATCAACAAATGCCAAGGGCACGAACATTTTTTCTTTCTGGAATTGATTTTACCTCGAGTTAGGCGCTTTTCTCAGTAGTGAAAGTTATATGTAATGGGTGCGTCGTGAAATTTGAATTTTATCTCCACTACACCGAGGAACCAACTTTGATAACCAACATTTTTAGAACCGGTTTTTCGTGGGGATAATGTAGCAGAAAAGGTTGAGCACTCCGCCTGTTCATGGCTAGTCTGCGGAGATACGCACGCTCTCATGTTCTTCTGTGTCATCAGACCATGTGGCATTAAAGACTACGTCTACTGTGAGTTCGATCAGGCAATGCAGGCAGGTAGGTTAGCGCAGCAAGACTCCGCAAGCAATCGCTATTCAATGCCCACTCCGTTACTCAGCGAGCTCAGCTCACTGTTAGGCACGTATCGTGGCAGTTAGGCGCTCAGGCACAGTGGCAATGGCACAGATCTCTTCCGCACACTTGGTGATCAGAATCACCAGGCCGGCATCTGATGTAGGAATCCGATGTGGGTACCCGCGGATTGGAATCGAGAGGTGGTGACACACCTAGAACCTCGATCCTATCAATCCTCGCCCCCCATGTTCAGAGTAGTCATCTCTGCGCACTTCAACGTACTCGGTTGCCTGTGGTCATAATACCTATTAATCCACGCCCCCCATGCTCAGAGTAGTCATCTCTGCGCACTTCAACGTACTCGGTTGCCTGTGGTCATAATACCTATTAATCCACGCCCCCCATGCTCAGAGTAGTCATCTCTGCGCACTTCAACGTACTCGGTTGCCTGTGGTCATAAATACCTCCAGGCTCCCGTGGGAATATCGGTCTACCGCCGCTACAACAATTCCGAAAATCAACTGTATGTTTTGACCAGTATATTTTTTTCACGGACCAACGCGACGATTCTTGACTTTTGGTGCATTTTTCACTGAGTCTGAGACGTACACAAGTGTGCACCAAAGTGTTTGGTCACAACGAGAGTATGTCCATTCAAAAGTCCCAGTAGAGGGCTTTCATTCGATATACCGCACGTTCCGTGAATCGACGGTGTAGCGGAGATATTTATCAAATTGTCTGTGTCGGAATTCTTGTTGGTTCCACTGTATGTACGAAACAAGAAGCCGGGCAAGAACACGGACACGGCAACAACCACGCCCCGGGCGGGAGTAGCACAGCAGGCGGACGAGACGGCGAGAAAGACAAGAAACAAACGCAAAGAGGCGGACCGAGTGGCGCGAAACATTGTCACCGAGTTGAACCCCTTTGCTTCACTTATCCCCCCCCTTCCTCCCCCGCTCCCCCCCCCGGGTGTTTGCCATCGGGGCTGGGTTTTCGTCGCTTGGCAACGACGTTGTAAATCAAGCCTCCCCATCGGTGTTTGCCATCAGGATTGGGTTTGCGTCGCTTGCCAAAGACGTTGGAAAACAAGCCAATTCACTTCGTGAACTCGGCAAGGTTACCGTTTGTTTTTTTACCCATGGCTTTTTTTTTGGCGGCAACCATGATGGTGGTCGAGTAGATCATGTTGTGCGGGGTGGACAAGCCTCACTCCGCGCAAGGGGGATGATCGCACCACGTTGTGTTAAAATGGTCAAGCACCCTCGAGGCAGTTACACAGTGCTTACAACTGTCTCTGGAAGTGAAAGCACTAGAAAATACAGTAAGTCATACGCCGCTGTCATCCGTATGCATGCAAGGAAGTAGGCACAAGATGGCGAACACGCTCAGCAGGATGCAGCGCACCCTTCATGCGACTCGCCGAATATCTCACGGCGCTTCGCGCTTGGTGATGTGAGAGCCTGGTCCGGTGAGAACCCGGCGTGCTCCGTCCCGGCTTTGTAGGGATGCGCGGTCAATGGTCTAACGACTACGACATGCACGACTATGAGTACCCCCCCCCCTCCCCCCGGCACTAGAAGAAGTTTACTGATAAGTGGAGGTTGTCTGCCAACGTTGAGAAGGGTGCCGTTATGGTGTGCAACCAGGACAGGGTGGAACCAGTAGGACATAGATGGAAGTGGCGGATCGAGGAGTTTGCAGTATTGGACTACACATACCTCGGGGTGTGGTGCAGGGCGGGGGATGCCTGGTCGGCGGGAACCCGGCACGGAACCCTCCGGCGTTGTAGGCGGGTGTGGGAAGCGTTCCCCGTTCTCCTTTTATTTTATTTTGATCGGTCTCCTCGACGCTCTTTCTCGTTTGGTGCGGTAG